TGGTAATGTTTAAAATGTTTTACACTGTCCCCCCGACACACACCTCCTCTCTGTCCAATGGGCTAATGAACGTTTTGATCTAATTTGAATTCCTAGGAAGGTAGGTGACTCTCTAGGATCTCTTAAAATGAAGTCACTTTCTTCAGAATATCATTTTAAGCAGAAGTTCTAGCTTTAGACTTTTTTTTACCATATTTACTAACCATTAAGTGCACCTGAGGCCTAACATCAGAATATCTCTGAAGCATTGCTTTTCAGAGCATCTTTTTCCCCCCCAAAACCAAATATAACTTTTCTCCCACTAGTTGTGACATGAGAACAGAGGTACTACAAATATAAAACTAACCACTTTGAAGACCGGCTTAGTACAGAACTATGGGTAACAGCCTGCAGTGGTCTAGCTACTGGACCTCATGTAACTGTGTGTGAGAAGTGAGCATTTAGTACTACCTCGTTAAGCTGCATGAGTGGTAACATTGCTTTCTTTTTCCCTCTCTTCTTTTTTTAAGGGGTAGCAGATGGCGTAGGAGGCTGGAGAGACTACGGGGTCGACCCTTCTCAGTTCTCAGGGACTCTAATGCGAACATGTGAGCGCTTAGTAAAAGAAGGACGGTTCGTACCAAGCAATCCCGTTGGGATTCTTACCGCCAGTTACTGTGAGCTACTACAGAACAAAGTCCCTCTGCTTGGTAAGAGCAACAAAGAACCCACACGTTGATTTCATGGTGTACAATGTGCTGGCCAGGCTTACAGATTCAAGGCAGTTTGAGCAGTCACTTAGTAGTGCAGTGCAGATCCTCAGCCAGTTATCTGTCCTGAATTTCAAGGGAACTCTGACACTGTCTTGGAGCACTGATGCTCCATGTATGAGGGTACTGGAATGTAACTCTGCTCCAAAGAGCACTTCAGTGATTTTCATTAAAGAATAGACTTGCTGAGAATGTCTTCCACACTTGCAGAAGGGCTGCAAAATAAGCTGTCCTGGCAGTCCACTCCTGCTTGTGTTTGTTTAACACCAGCTCCTCAGCTTGTGATTTAGGCTTGGTTCCAGCCCAGGCTTTTCTGATAAGTAACAAGATAGCTGGCTGTGTCTCCTTGAGCTGGTCCTGCTAACTCCTACTTCAGTGGTGCCCAACCTTCTGGTCCAGCTGGCTGCGTAAGTGGTAGGGGATGGGTCCACAGGCCACATCTGGTTTGCAGGCCCCATCTGGCCTGTGCAGGACCGAATCCCCTGTCCGGCATGCCGTATCACAGCTGTGGCCCTAGCCCGGATTGGGCCAGTCCCCTGGTTCTAGCCCTGCACATGCTAGATTGGGCCCTGTGTGCAGGGTCATGTCTTCTGGCCTACAGGGCTAGGGAACGTGTTGGTGGGGGAGTGGCAGCAGCATTGACTGCAGCTGCCCCTTCCACCCCCCAAATATCTGGACCTGTGGGGAGCGCCTGGACTGCATCACAGCTCAGCAGGGGCTGGGGGTTGAGCACCCCTGCACTCATTGAATGGCTTGCATGGTGCTATCAGTTGTCTTCTGTTGTCGCTGATTTATGGGGGTAGGAGTAAAGATTTGAAGGAAAGCTAAAGAGATGTGCTACAACCACGAGCTTGCTGGATGTTGTGCACAGTTGGCCTTCAGATCTGTTTATGCATTTCCCTTGGAAGCCTGTGGAAGTCGTGTGGACAGAGAGGCCGCATTTGGCCCTGCTCAGGTAACCTTGAAAGCTGAATACCGTTCTAAAGGCTGTCTAACCTTTCACACACTAAGAGTGAGTTACCCTGCCTGACGCACATGCTTCTTACCTGACCTTAAACTTCTTTCCCCAGAGAGCATTATGTAAACTATGTCTAACCAGTCCGCTGAGCCAGGGACCAGATGTTTGCTTTTTATTACGTGCCTAAAAAATGGGTGCAAGCTTCAAGCAGCCTGCTGGTTCGTCTTTTAGCCTATGTCTGTTCAGTGACTGTTTTATTTCAGGGGGTCGGAGTGTCTAATTATAGTCCTTCTATTTTGTGCAAAGCAGTCAAAGTGATTAAGTGACCGACAAGGTGGACCACTCGTGACGAGCTCTCGCAGCCCTTCCCTGGACGGAGACAGCCTGGCCTGACCTTTCCAAGTCTCAAGAGCAGTATATGCAGAGTCACGGGATCTGCATTCTTTGCATGGATTTCTGGTTACAGTACACGTTAACGCTGCTAGACTCTGAACCAAGTGAGGCTGGGAGCCCCACAAAAAGAAAAGCATTGCTAATCAGTTGCAACACAGCCCTGTGCAGGAGAGGCGATGGCCCAGAGCTAGCTGTGCTCTGCGCTGAAGGCTCTGAGCTCAGTTGATTTGTAAGCCCCTGATCCATCAAACGGGCCGCTCTGCTTGGAGGCGTTTCTTAGTTAATGGAAAGCTCAGGGTCTTTCTTTAACCCGTCTTGTTAGAAATGACTCTTGGCGGAGCTGAGGATGTTGGAACCAGCTGCATTTCGGTGTCTTGGAAAGGTTTGAATGTGTTAACTTCTGGGATGTTCATTCCAAATGAAAAGGGATTCTGCTCTCAACCCCGCCCAATGCGCTAGATTATGGATCAGACTTCTTTGGGCACAGCAATTGCTATGCCACGTCACCGTCAGTGGGCAGCCCCAGATGTTACAGGGGAATGAATTCAAATTCCATAATGCCCCCACCGTGAATGGAAGGTTTCGGGGCAGTATGAATTGATGTGGGTGTTTCCATTCTCCCCCATGCCCTTACTCTGTCTTAATCCATCTAGCACAGTATTTGCAGAGAAGTTTTATCTTGTGAAGTAACTTGAGCAATTATTGAGAGTTCTAGGACACTAAGACCCTGAGAGATGGGTAATGAAGACAGTTGTGAAAATAGGATTCGACAGTTTCTATAGAAATAAAATGAGGCTAGAAACTTGGTACGTGGTGTCACGCTGACTTTTCCAGCGTTGGGATCTTGATCGGCATGTTATGAATGAAGTGTCCAAGCAGTTAACAATGTGTCAGGTTACATATGGTTGCACCTGCCTGCTGGCACTTAAATACTGGAGCTAACTTCTTAACTGAGCTTTAAAGCAGCGCACTTATTTCTGAATGAATTGCATGAAGAGACCATGTGTTTCTTTGAAAGCAGGCCTCTGAGCCAGTTTTACAAAGACATGCTCTAAAAGAAAAAGCATTGCTCTGATGCACACAATGTAAAAACACCTAGTGACATCTCTCAGTTGTCCATTTGCTGGGCACGAATTATTCAGGACTGGTGAAGGGAAGTATATGGACAGCACCTAGCATGGTCTCGGTGCTATCATGATACTGTTACGGTCACAGTAATCATGACTTCATTATTCTGTGCCGTCTGTAAAATAGGTCACCTTCAGAGATCGTGCACATCTACCCACACTAGAATATTTTAGAATGGGAAACTGCACTAAGCGTTTGTCAGCATGCTGTAATGACAGAAATCAAAGCAAGATAAGCAAATTAATTGGCAGCTGTGTCGTGCAATGCCTGTAAATCTCACCACTGCTTTTTTCCTCCTCATAATATATATTCACTTCGTTTCTCCCCAACAAATATTTACATGTGCCTGGATTTGTCAGCAGTGATGTTCAGTATTTGAACAGCTGGCCTATGAATGAAATAGTGAGCAACAGTCAGCTCCTGCGACAAATGCTGCTACAGCTTAGTCCATCTCCTGTTGATCCTTTTAACTTTCCTTCTAGGAAGCAGTACGGCTTGCATAGTGGTTCTGGACAGAACAAGTCATCGTTTACATACAGCAAATTTGGGAGATTCTGGATTTCTGGTAGTGAGAGGAGGAGAAGTGGTCCATCGGTCCGATGAACAACAGCATTACTTCAACACTCCGTTCCAGCTGTCGATAGCACCGCCAGAAGCAGAGGGAGTTGTACTAAGTGATAGGTGAGATGGGGATTGATGCAGTGTACAGCCAGCATGTGAGAGGTTCTGGGACCTTCAGTGAAAGTGCTCTGTATGCTGGAATCTAGCACTGGGTGTACTTATTTAAAACAAAATAGAAGGGGAGGAGGGTTTACTTGCCTAAGAAATAACTGCTGACCTGAGTACAAGTCAACAACCTGGTAAGAGTCCAAGCTACCTGAAACGTTTATGAGCTCAGGAGCATGGTCACTTCCCCTAGACTTAAGTGCATAAAGCATGCGAGTCATTTTGATCCTCAGAGGGACTAGCATATTATGAAACTCCTTACAAAACCAGAAGTAATATCCACTGGTGTAGTAGAACATACAGCATAAATGTCATGTCCAGGTCCTTTGCATGTTGTGCCAAGACAATACAAACCTTAAGGTTGTATTAATCACAGAGATGAATTCATTGCATTTGCAGGTTTGAGCTATTACTGTTTGTCTGCAGTAACGGCAGGAGCCTTAAATACAAATTACTATGAATGAGTCAGTATTAGAGGCTTTTTGTTCCTTACTGTGAAACAAATAAAAGAGTTTTGTAGCCCATCTAGGATTAGGGAGGATGTGTCACAAGGCCTAACTTCAATGCAAGAAAAGTTCCTACTGACTGTAGCAAAGTATAGAAACCATTTGAACTTCCTTATAGGTGGCTGCAGCACACACAGTGAGAGTTGAATAAGGATGGACTGGGCTAGCACTGGGCACTAGCAGGCAGTATTGACCTGATGGAGAACACTTTCAATTGTTCCACTTAGCATCAGCCGTGCATTCTGGTTTTGGGTGCACCCACCTTCTCGGAGTCCCTGCTCCTCTAGAGACCAGCAAGGAACAGGCCGCCTTGCATAGCTTGGCACTGAGGTCATGAAGCCTGAGAGGAGAGCAGGGCAGCGTGTGACTGCAGCTTGCATTGCAGTACAGCGAAGTGTCCAACAGCACGCTGCGTTCCATGAGAATGAGCAGAACTCCATCTGGCAGAACACCGAGCTTGTGTTAGAAAGATACTGTGTCCACAAAACTTGGCGGGCCAAAGGTGAACTTGGGTAGTGCCCCCGCTGAGCTGTCTGCGTTTCAGTGCTGGCCCAGCCCTCCAGCCACTTCTCAAACAAAATCAGAATTGCAGAATGCACCTTCTTGTCTTATGTCACTTTGCTTGTCTCTTTTTTCTTTTAATGAGTTTCCTCTACTATATTAAATTAAGTTCATAATCTTCTTTAAAAATGCACTTGAATTATTTAATTTTTTTAATTAATTTTTTGATCCGGACCTTAAAAATCTCCTAAACAACAGTTGTGTGTCCTGTACAGGCAATGGAGAATGAATGTTAAGCTCTTAGTCAGAGGTTTTAGACTTTGTAGTTTCCAATGCCAAAATAATTCCTTTGAGGATGCTGGGTGGAAATAGTTCCAACTAGATTGCTGTTACCGTGATGAAGGTAACAAACCCACACAGGGAGACCAAAGGCCTCAAGGGTAGGAAGTGCACAGCCATGAGGATCCTGAAAGGAGAGCACTTCAGAAATTGACTCTGGTCTGATTATAAATCATTCCAGTGGTTCTAGCTTTCTTGAGTAAGACCTAGGTATCTTTTGTAAAGAATAAAAATAGCACAAGGGCGGTTATCAGAAAAGCATCCTTTGGAAACTAAGGAAGCAAAGAATGAGTCATTGTGGATTAAGGAAAATGGGGAAGATGCATCGGCCCTTGAAACGCCCACATTTCCATTCTGAATCATGGGTATAGCATGCATCATAGTGGCTTGCACTTATCTCTACTTTAAGTGATATTTACATTCAGTTTTAATTGCCTTTCTGTTTTTCCTTTTAACGGTTGAACAAGTCCATATAAAATTGATATCGGGATAGGGCAGTGATGTAAAACACTGGGTTGAAATGCTGATCATCTTAGAACTGCAAGTTCAAGTCCAAGTGCGGTAAAATCAGCCCCTCATCCAGTGTGGGGAGCCAACTCCTTTTTGCCATTGAAAGCCAAGGTGCTCCTCATTAAAGGCCTCGTTCTGTTTAAGAGTTGGGGTTTGCCATGGTGACCAAAATGTGTGCTGCTTCCTTCCTGTACAGTGTATTATATAGCTGCAGGTGCATCATTCACAATAAAAGGTGCTTCAGTATCTAGGCATCGCTCTTGTCATCCCAGTTAGGAGTTTTCACCTCCCTCTCCTCAAGCCCTTTGACATGTTTAAATTGGGTGAGAAGGAAACCCTGAACTACCATTGGACTTGATGGTTACCACGGTGAAGTGGATTAGACGGAATTGTCCTGATCTGGGCAGTTTTGATGCACCTCCCCAGATGTTAACTGTTTGTGATCCCGATTGTGTCTTCTGTCACACTGGCTCTCTTGATAAGCTGCACCGATGCATAACACATGTTATAGGAGCAGTGAATTGCAGAAGCCGTTGATGCTGTTGTTTGACAGGACTTTGTACCTTTTAGTGTGATGTGAATTCCTTTCCTTTGACATGATATCATCATCTTCACAGCCCAGATGCTGCTGACAGTACTTCTTTTGATGTTCAGCTCGGAGACATTATTCTGACAGCAACAGATGGACTTTTTGACAACATGCCTGACTACATGATTCTTCAGGAACTAAAAAAGCTGAAGGTAACTGCCATGAAGTGCCTGCAGTAAATGCAGGTTCTTATTCAGCCATATGATGAATAGCTGTTACTTCCCGTTAATCATTTCAAGAGCTGTTTTCCGCTTAGGTAACAAATGAGATCTTGCCCTTTCCCCACTGAACAGGGAGTATTAAACAACTTTGAGTGGGAGAGTTGTTAGGAAGTCCACTGCAGAATCCAAAAGGACATAGGAACTAGGCACCTGGAGGAAGGTATTTTGACCCTGACAGCTTGCACGTTAACTTCTCAGTGGCCTTCATATTGATCCTTCTCTCGGCAAAATGACTGCCAGGGTTTGTTGGAAACACTGTAAGTGGCCTTGTAGACAGTGATTTAGAGGCATGCTCTGAGTAGACTGAATGTGAGCTTGGAGTCCTGCTCTTGTGAGTCATAGGAATGATTCTTGTACTACTGTTCCAATAGAAATCTTTCACTTTCCCCCAAGTAGCATTGAAATCTGAATGTGGAAAGCCTCCATTTCAGTCTCACCTATGGCTTGAGCAGGAAGGTCTTGTTCGATATGTCGACAAAGTTGAAAACCCAGTGTTAGCCGGTTGGGATCTGCCCTGCCCCTGTTACTGTTCTCTTACCCCATGTCTGCCCTAGAGAATAGAGGTGTGGTTGTAGCACATGCCACTAGCTAGCTGGCAGGAGTAGCCATACGGAGAAGGCCCAGCAGTGCATGTTTTAGCACCTCAGAGTACTGAACGAGATGCTTATGTGGGAGGGGAGGGAGAAGCTGTGGGGTGGAGAAGGGAAGGCTGTTGGCTTTGTGGGTTTTGTGGGGTTTTTTTGTTTTTGTTTTTTGAGACTTGTAAATAATTTCAGATGAGCAGCAGGGCAGAGTGGGGACAGGAAAACTTTATTGTTGCAGTGGAAGCTGTAACTGCTGGGTATGCAGACTTGTAGCCCATGCGTAGACATTAAGATTTCAGTTTGATTTAACACTTTCCCATTTAAGTGTAGGGCACAGACACCATTCAGCAAAATGGATATTGTAATTATGCAAGACTAAAGAGTTGTCAGGCATTTTTGTGTTATGGGAAGATAATCCTTTTGTTCAACACTTAGTACTCAAACTAGCTTTGTTTCCCTTGTTTGCTCAGTCATTGCTCTCCTCCTTTTGCCTTAGCACTCCTGCTGTAGTGAATGCAGTTCCTTTGGGCTCGTCTTGGCTTTGCATGTCCTTTGGAAAGAGCAGGTTCCTGGCTGTCAGGCTGGGTGAAGGGAGGGTGTGATTTGGGTAGTCAAAACAGGTAAAGGGAAAGCTGAGTTTCTCAGCTTAGATAACTTCCAATATTAAAAAACAGGCTGGGTCCCATCTTCTAAGCAGTGAAATGGTACATTTCCTTCCCACGATCAGTGGTCTCATGAAAACTATGCAGATAATCACAGCCACAGAGGTTGGATTCATCCTGGAATGCAAATGCTCACAAACTGGACATTTGGGAGAAGGCAGGTTCCTTTTGGATTAGGAAATGCTCCCTGTGCCCATCATGCTCTCTTCCAAAGTAGCTGCTTAGGTGAATGAACCGCACTCATTTCTGTAAGAATAACTGGCTGGCTTTCATCAATCTAGAACTCGAATTATGAGAGCATACAACAGACTGCGAGAAGCATTGCTGAGCAAGCTCATGAACTGGCGTATGACCCTACTTACATGTCACCCTTTGCACAGTTTGCCTGTGACAATGGCTTGAACGTGAGAGGTGAGTGCGTCTCCCCACAACTATGGAATCGCTTAATAAATCTTGTGCTGTCGCAAGTTCCATCCCCCTCTCTCCCCCTGCCCCCAAATAATTGGTGGTCCCCACAATGCTTTTAGGAGGTGCGTGTTCCTTTTGAAAGGGAAGTGAAGGAGGCCAAGGCTTTTGGGTGTACACGTTTAAAACAGTTACTGGCTTTTTTTTTTAAAGGGTATTAAAACAAAGCATTTAGGACACTGTTTATAATTTTTAGGTAGCTTCTTGATTAGTTTAAAAATTAATTTTTTGCATTACAGGGGGAAAACCAGATGACATCACCGTCCTTCTTTCTATAGTAGCTGAATATACAGACTGAATTATTTAAGATGTCAACTTCTGATACCGTCTTTCTCCCAGAGTTCCTGGCTTCACACGTACTGTTTCCTGCTGGCAGGATTGCTTTCTTATGTTGCAGCTGATCTCAATGGCCAATTGTCAAGCCTGTTGCCTGTCTTACAATGCAGTGTTGAGATCCTTTTAAGAACCACTACTGTAGTACACTGATCCATCTGCCAGCAAGAAATGAAGAATTGCAAGGCTTGAAGCATGCCTTTCAAAACCTAGTAGTTGTTTTCAAGGTGGGGGAAACCAGACCCACGTGGTTACTGCTTTTTAAATTGTGACTAGTTTCAAATGATGAACATTGGTTGCTCAAAGTTCAAAATTAGGTATAATTGATTTAAAGTTCCACAAGAGGATGTGTATTGCTCTATCTGCTAGAAACATCCATTATTCATCCAAGGATATGTTAAAAAGCATACGTTCCTAAACCTAGTCTCGTTACAGTGATAGCTGAGGATTTGTGTTTCAAAAACGTTGTTTTCAGGAGGAGGATAACTGCTGTAAAAGTTTTGGTCTTGGCATACATCGTGTCAGCTTGGAGCCTTTTCTATTGCAGAATTTCAAAAAAAAACAAGATTAGTTTAAGCTGTACGGATGCATAAGTGTGTTGTGATTTCAGATGCTTAACTGTGATCTTATCAGTGGAAGCTTTGCAGATCATTTGTCCATAACAAGGCCTAGGCTCTCTGGATGTTTTGGGCATGGGTAACTTTTTTTTAAATCAGAAAGTTGTAGCTTGAACTCACAAAAGCTGCCAGCGCTCAGAGTTGAGGTTAACACAGATTCTTGCCCTGCCTCTGAGCAGCATGCGAGAACATGCCGTAGCTGCTTCCATCCCTAGGAAAGACAGGTGGTGTTAAGAGCAGGTAGTCCTCAACTTTGAACTTCCTTACTTTTTGTTTGAGAACTCACTACTGCCTAGCTGTCCTTCGTGTTAGTATGACCATTCTTGCTTTATGTAGACTAGAACATGCTCTACCAAATTAAGTCGATCCTTGTTCTGACTCTCAAAAGTGCACCTCTTCGCTTATGCTGTGGCAGCGGCAGTAAGTACACAAATGAAAAATAGTTAATGAATAACAAGCAAAACTTACATTTCAGTAACTGATGCTGAGGGTTTTCTGAATGATCCTTAATGATGTTTACAGTTATCTCCCAGCCACTTGCGATTATAACATTTCCTTATGAATAAGAGTAGCTCACAATTGTTTCCCCCAATTTGCTCTTCTTGAGGCTCATAAAAAGCTTGTAGCTGGTAAAGATATATATATTTTGGTCAGTTTTTCATTAACTTTTTTTTGCTGGTAGAGAAGTATTTAGAAATAAATTAAAGCCATGTGTTTTTATATATATATAT